TATATATATATATATATATATATATATATTGAAATGAAAAGAAATGACAAAATTGTAAATAAAAATATTGTATACACGAAAATGACAAGAAGAAGATGATTAAATAAAATGATGGGAGAAAGATGTTAAATTTTTGTTGTATTTGTCGATACATTTATCAAACCAACAAGACTATGAGTTATGTATATGTATATTCTCCATATTTCCAGAATACACCATTTTATTTAGGAAATTTTCATATTAACGCAAAAGTTTAAGCATGATGTCTAATCCAATAAAAATATTTAGTATTTTTAATTGAATTATATAAATTCCAATCGGTCTATAAATAGTTTAATTAGTCATTACTCTATATATATACACATTTGCATTATGCAAAGCTGACTCGATACTTTTAGGAGTGAAGAAGTAAAAAAATTTATATTTTAATTTGACGTCTTATACAAATCATTCATTACATGCACGACTTGCATTCGTATACATAAAAGTGTTAAATCCAAATACAATCTGTGAATATTCGATGAGATGTTATTTAACATAGAAAACCAAAATAAATTTATAGAAATTGTGTAGAGTTGCAGCTAGTTAATACAATATGTAAAAGTTCAGGCTACCGCAGCCTGTTTCAATTGCTGTTGTTGACATGGTGCAAGATACAACTTAAGTATAATATTAAATAATTAAAAACACAATAACAAATCGTTACCAATAGATCATTTAATCTAAAATAGAATTAAATATTAATAAGAAATTATCATAATTTACTGGAAACGTATATGAGGTAAGTATAGAGATAAAAGAAATATATGGCATTTTTATATCAAGAAATGTAATATAAAAACAAAAAATTTTATGTCATATTAGTGCAAACAATGTAAGATACTACATGTTCGATAATACACATCGATATATAATAAAAAATCAATCAAAACTTAATTTATGCAAAATAAAGTTAAAGCTTTCGAAAGATAATCTATATAGGAACAATGAAGGTAATTATGCCAACGACCTCAAAGTTATTGTCCTATCTTATTTGATACATATATTATATTCACACACACACACACACACACCATTATATTCATACAAAGGTTGTTCGGATTCTAATGGAAAAAAGTTTTTTTTTAATCTTATCGTTTATTATAAAAAATTGGTAATTTACATAATATCTTAATTAAAAATGCATTTCATCAATTTTCTTATGGAAGCAATGAAAAAAAATTAAAACTAGCAAATACAAATAAGAAAAAAACACAGTAAACTAATAAACATGAGTAAGAGAGAGAGAGAGAGAGAGAGAGAGAGAGAGAGAGTAAGAATGGATGAATATGTAAGAGCTCTTAGGGGATTGTCGATCGACTTCCTCCTCGTCCCTTAGTCCCTCCAACCCCTTATCCTTTACCATCCAATTACAAAGCGGTAACAATCGCAAAACCAACACACGTACAACTTAACGAACAAACTATCGTGATCACAAACATGAGCAAAATCGACTAATAGATATATATGTATATAAAGTAGAGAAAGAAAAATAGATGGATGGTTGGATGGTTAGATGGTTAGATGGTTGGATGGATGGATGAATAGATGGACAGGTAGATATCATAGATAGAGAGAAGGGGTTGAAAAGAGAGGGGGAGAGAGAGAGAGAGAGAGAGAGAGAGATACATAGATAGACAGAGATGGAGGGGGTATATAGAGAAGCCGATTGCGGCGTTTCTAGTACAGTTCGTTTCTGTTGCTATGCGCGAGTGCATGAGGCCAGCCCCATATGGTTCGCCATAGAAGCACAAAGTGAAAGATGGAGGGAGTTAAAAGCAAGCCGGAGCCATCGACTGACGCGCGCCGCCACCGTCGCACTAGAACGACCCGTGACTAAAGGTAAATATATATCACAGAGGGTGGAGCTCTCCCCCCACACCCCTCACGCCCCATTGCCCTATGTATGTATTTATGCGTGGGTTGATTAGCAAACGCATGTGTATACACACGTGCGCAGTTAGTTTCGGGAATATGGCATAGAGAAAATCTCTGGCTCTTCTAAGCACGTGGCCATCAGATTTCCTCAATTTCACTTAAAATAAAGTCAACCATGAATAATTAATAAGGACTCTTTACTTGTTATTCTTATTCTTCTTACTCTTTCGATAGTATATTTGGAATTAGTAAGATGCAAAGAATCATATATTTTTTAAATTTTACGACTATTTTAATAAAAATATCACGCGTGTTATATAATTTTATCGAATATGTTAAATATACATTTCTATTATATCAGCATATTACTTATTTAAGAAGGA